CACACAAACAATCGTAACGCAGCGATTTAGACGACAGAGAAGGCGATCGCACCTCTCTAGTGACAGCGGCTGGACGTTTGCGAGGAGATATTTGTGATATGGAAAGACAAAATAGCACAACCTTTCATCATGATGGCGTCTGAGGTCGATCAGATTAATTCCCCAGGAGAAGTTTGTTAAAATACGTTTAAATCGCCAAAAATTACCATTAAATTAAAAAAATGCTGACTTCCTAGTTGTGTTTGGGGTACGTATCAGTGAAATGTGTTGTTTAGCTTGGGGCCTTTATTATTACATACATGTGAATGTGTTCAGGGACTTTTTCTGTTCCAGCAATGTGTGCAGGTTAATAATAATAATAATAATAATAATAATAATAATAATAAAAAAAGAAACTTTTTGTGTGACTTTTCTTTCTGCTGTGGTATTGAAAGAGGTATCAGGTATCTATTGTGTCAAAGTGACAACCTTAGTTTATGCTTTACCTCATAAATAAAAAAGGATTCTTTAATTTTATATAACAAATATGAGAAGATATGTTTTGTGTATTTTTACATCGACATAAAATAATCTTCTTCAGTCATAATTTGTCTCCGAACTCCAAAAAAAAAGGTTGTAAAATGATATCATGAACCCAGTTTCTTCCATATCGTGCAGCTCTATCCCTCATAGAGAAGAACAGCTGTAAGAAGTTGAACCAGAATATAACCTGGTTGCAGGAGAAGATGGAGCGTCCTTCTAGAAACCTGCTGCCTCGTGTGTGGGCGGTTAGGATAAAAATCAAGCAGGAATAATGTTTTTTTTTAAAAGCAGCAGAAGAAAGGGCAGATATGCTAATTTCCCTTCTACTTTTACAATAACAGGGCTGAACAATGCAGCAGAGCCCACACAGACAGGGACAACCATCATCTCCCTACGAGCGCGGCGACAGGTTCAGGAGTGATAGACGGCCCCGTCTGTCGGAGGCGAAGGCGTGGAGGTTGACACAAGTGAAAGCGAGCGCTGCTACACGCCTCTCTCCAACGCCGGTGCAGCTCCCGAACAACGCTGGTGACAAAGCGGAGATTAGACTAATTACAAAACAACAGGTCGATTGATTGACGAGATTACGCGGGTTCAGGTCGATACCGCAGAGAGAGAGAGAGCTTCCAGATTTGTTTGTCGACCGTCACTCCTCTCTCCTCCGACACAGGATGATTTGTCTGGAAAAGAAAAGCAGCAGGATGTTATTTATTTGAGGCATGTGTGTGAGCGTGTGCAGGCCCGAGCAGGAGGCCGAACGCTGACGTAGAAGCGCAGCAGCGATGCCAACGGTGACCTGGAAGCACCTGTGCCGACATACAGAGATCAGCGGGCTCTGGACGGATTCCAAATGTTGCTATGGATGGATGAAAAAGCTCGCAGGGTCTTGGATTAAAAGCAAAAACAAGCTGTAACTGTCTGGTTGTAACTGGTCTGAATCCTCGTGGAAATACACAAAAAATTTAAGAGAGAGCAGATTTTTTGCCTGGAGATGTACACAGACTTCTGGAAATGTCCCAGTTTGTTAGTTTCCTCCAAAATAAAGTGTGGGATTGCTTGAAAGTCATTTTTTCCATCTCAAAAGAGGGAAAATTGTAAGAAAAATATATAAAGGCGATAAAAATACACGGATATGTAGCCTACGCAGCAACAAATATTGCTTTTAATTTCATTATTCTGTTGTTTTCTTTGCATACAGACAGAAAACACTCGAGTAATCCCAGGCTGATTCAAACAATAACTGGGAGGCTCTAACCTTTAATAAAAATACACATTCATATGTCAATATACAGAATGTTTCTTACTTCTCACTAGTGTCCAATTTCATCATTTCAGCAAAGTGTGATTGGTCCTTTTTTTCCCACAGCAAATATTTTGACTTTTCTTGCAAGAAAACATAATAAATAAAGGCTCTGTTGTGTTCAAGAGTCCTAGTAAGTCCACAAAACCACAAAAGTGCCAACCTGCGAGAGGAAAAGTCAGATTCATCCTCTGGGGAACATAAACGTCCCTGAAAGTCCAATAACAGTCGAGTTATTTCAGTCTGGACCAGAGAGGTGGATTCCTGGAGCCAAGCTGCTCGCGTGCCTTAAAAAACAAAGTTATGCAGATAGCGATGTCTGTAAGTGTTTTGGTTACCGTGCCGACACCCGTATCTGAAACAGCTATCAAAATGCAAAAATGGGCGTCCAGAATGCAAAACTTTGTCACTTCGAATTTTGCTGAATTGAGATCGTCTCAACGCCTCTGTTGCTCCGAACAACCGGACACAAACAAACAAAGGCAGCCTACAAGTATTATTATTGAACAAAAAGCCTCTGCACTAAAACAGACAGACACAGAAGCACTGAATGATTTCTCTTTATCTCGACACTTGACTCATTTACTGTAGATTTGATCCTCAGATGTCGATCTAACAGGCAAAGTAGATTTAATTGGTTTTCTGGGCGTCTCCTCCGGGACGCTCTGTGACTGTCCCTCTCTCGTCATGTCGCAGTGTGTTAATTAACCTTCGGCAGATGTTATTTAAAAGACAGACACAGTTAATCAGTGAGGTGGGAGGTACTCTGCAGTCGCAGTGTTAGGTTCGATTTAAAGCGTCAGTTCACATGTGCTACATACCTGCTGTTTGTCTTTGATGTGGAGGTTTCGTGCACCGGTCACAATGAAAACATTTCATTTCCTCTGATGTGATTTGCTTACATCTGCTCTTCCGTGACGTCTATCGGGACACGTTCAGGACGAAATAATATGCAAAACCAGAAGAGTTCGAGGCTGATCTGAGAACTGTTGCAGGTTAACCGTTGAAACAAATATTCATTAGGTTGTTGATTGCACACAGAAGTAGACGAGAGGAGGAGCTCATGTCTGGTTGGTCGTTGAAAACATACAGACTCGTTTTAGGATAATTTATAAACCTGTTTAATAGTGATTAACAACATTTTACAC